GAGAAAAGAAAGTGAAAATGCAGCGGACCAAAAATATCTTTGATGCCATTTTGTGGAGCTCGACGAGTACTATAAATGAGAGAAAAAGAAAAAATTCGACTGAACACTTTTTGTGCTGGGAGGCCTGAAAGTTAGACATTTTGAAAAATGGGCGTTCAAACATAGACTTCTTACTCAAAGATGGAGATAGATATCGACATTATCCTTTTTTCATTGGATTAAGCAGCTCTTTAGCTTCATTTTTATCTATAGTGTAAGAGCTTTTTGTTTTCTTTTACCTTCAGGAGAGATGAAATACTAAGGGCCCCTTTTTACATTTTCGGCCATTTTTTGGCAGCTGGCCTGTGCTTGTAAAAATTGTAGAACAGTTTTGAGCATCAGCACTTATACTACTCGAGCTGCTTCGTCGTATAGTATATTAAACGTCGATGTTAACTCTGTTGATGTAAAGAAAAACAAGGTCAAAGTTGCTTCGTTCTCAGAGAGGTCAAAACCTGATATTCCTAAACGGGCATGTAGAATATGACTTTTTTAATGAACAAATGAGCAATTCCATGTAACTCTCTATGCTCTATACGGCACAAATGTTCAAATTTTCGCGGCTGTCATGTCTGTATAAAGTGAACGGACCTGAATGGACATACCCAGCTAAGAACTTTTCTGGACACCCACTGAATGTCCGAGGGGAGGCTCCAAGTATTTCTCATCAATTCGCCATGATAGACTGTCTATATTCTGTAAGTTTTATTATCCGTAGATGACTTTTTTTTAGTCGTAGAACCATTAGGTTATCAAAAAGTTTATTAATTTTTTTAAAAAAATTACTTTTCATGTGATTTGTGTTTCCGATGTAGGGTATTTACCCATACATACAAACACATACATACTCACACCAATATATATATATAGTCACACACACACACACACACACACAGTTCGATCTTGTTTTTTAATTGAGGAATTGTTAGATCTGAGTTGTCAATGCTCACTTCTTGGCCCAATGTTGTTCGAATAATGACGGTTTGTGACTGTCCAACTACCAGGTCAAGTGTGCTCTCTTCTGAATGTTATAATCACTGAGTGTTGGACTGTCTTCTAGCTGTTTACCAGCAAAAATCAATCGCTGTTTATCGGGTGGAACACCGTCTTTGTCTTGAATTTTCGCTTTCACATTTTCAATGGTACTTTACCGATGATGACAACAATCTTTCCATCAATTCATTCTGTTGATGAACAATTGGCACCAGACCAAAAATAAATATTGAAAATGTATAATAAAGCAACTAATCAAAAAGAAAAAACATCTGTTGTTTCTTAAAAGTTATTTTGATATAAATAAGAGAATAATTGACATTGTTTTTATCATTTTATTAGAGACGTTTCGTTATGAACTCATAACATCATCTGTCGAAACATGAAATGAATGAACAAACAAGACGAAAGAGTATATATATATCATATGAAAACTATCTACTTTTTCCACGCATCGATTCAAGCAGCGGGTGTGCGATATTCGGATTCAGCATGTCGAGAAACCTTTTTCACCTAAGTTTCGTCTTGAATGCAGACAAAAAGTTCCCGTCGAAATTTTTGTCTGAGGTCCCCCTCAGGTGTTTTGCCTAAAATTTAGGAAGAAAACTTTTTTTGTGTCTTTATTAGACTCTGTACGCCAATGTGCTTGTCGATTAAATAAAAAACTAGATAAATTAGATATTTTGATAAATAATGCCGGCAAATATTATTTTATTCAAATATAATCGATTTTTTTTTATTATATATATTTTTCTAGGTATCATGATGATACCGTATGAAAAATCGCCTGACGGATACGAACTACATTTAGTCACAAATCATTTCGGACACTTTTTATTGACAAATTTATTATTGAATCTAATGGAAAAAGCGCCAAAAGCAAGAATCATCAATATATCTTCGCTAGCACACAAAATGTATTTATATTATATATAATGAATTGATGCTTATGCTCATTCAAAATTATGTAATATTTTATTCACACGAGAATTAGCCAAACGTTTGATAGGTAACCTAAAAATTAATCTTATTTATTCAATTATCAATTGAAATATCAAATTATATTTGTAGGAACAAATACAACCGCCAATTGTCTTCATCCTGGTAAACTGTTTATTTGAGAAATTAGTCACCCACATTAATATTCATTATTTTCAGGTGTAGTTCGAACAGAATTACTGCGTAGTCTTGATGGAACATATGCATCGTTATCGACACAATTTCTTAAAACATTGTTATCAATCTGGTGGTTTGTATCGAAAAATAGCATACAAGCAGCTCAAACTACAATCTATTTAGCTATTGATAAACAATTTGATACGACAACAAGGCAATATTTTAGGTAATTCAAATATATCAGTGACACAGTGAAAATAATTATCATTTTTCTATTTTCAGCGATTGTGCAAAAGCAAGAACAACAGCAGCTGCTATGGATGATGCATCCGCTGCTCGACTTTGGCATGACAAATTTATCTATTAACATTAACTGAAATTGAAAAAGAAAAACATGAATAATCCATTGTGATAATTAATACTATTTGATTTCTATTTTTTTTAATGTTTGTATAATTTAGTTTTGTATCCAACTAATATCTAACTAAATATCAAACAATATATTCTTTTTCTTTTTATTCGTGGAACATCTCTTATTATACAAAATATCTCATTATTAAGTGAACGTAAATGATGTCTAAAAATCAAATTTTTCTATATTGATCATAAAATAAGCGTGGAGTAAACTGTTCGATAAATGTTTTATTATTGAAAAGAAAAAAGGTCAAACATGAAAATGACTCCTGCTGTTAAAATTATTTTATTCTTGAAAAAAACGTTAATATAATTTTTTGGTTTATTGTATTTGGTAGTCGTTTTCTAGCTTAAATACATGATTGTTTATACAATCCTCGCACAGTAGGCATATAGGCGGACATTTAGTCGAAAAACGAAAGTGAGCTTTTGAGAAAATTATTTTTTGTGTCCGGAATATGTGGTGCATTCTCGGTCTTCTTAATGGACGAAAATGATTTTATGTCATACATTGCTCAAAATCATGTATCAATTAAACGTACTGTACCGAGCCCCACTCCCTCCAGACATAGTTTTTAGGTCGCTGTAAAACTGTTGCTTTTTTGCTTATGAGGAAACATCCCGAGGTGAAGCGCTCCTTTATCATTCGTTCTTGCGTGATTCGATAGGGCATCGGATGGGGGTAAAAAGCCTAAGAGGGTTCGGGCGGAGACTTTTCCCCTGGGGAGTTACGGTCACTTTACGCGTTTTCTCAGCGGAAATCAGGCAGAATGAAAGAAATTGCCGTTTCGTCCAGGAGAGTCGTAGAGGGCTGGAATGTGTTTGGTCGTGGGGCTGTGTGTCCTCGTTATACCCTAAAAGTTTCAGACCCCTATCGCTTCCCCTCAAAGAGTTGTTGCACTTTTCGTACAGAAAGGAAAACGCAGTGTGACACTGTGGTGGCGCAAGTTATACTCATAGCTCTTTTT